GGGAATACAATTAAGCAATCGATTATTTTAAGTCCAATTGAAGTAACCTTTATCTGAGAGTTTTGAGGTAGCTGTAGACAGTGCCCAGCACCAACGGGTGGCACAGTAATTCCTCCCTCCTTAGGCCACACTAACCCTCCATGAAAACTTTGAGCCCCTGCCATTCTCTGTCTCCAGCACGATGTCGTTCACAAAGCTGGCAGAGAGAGCTTCCTTTCATGCCAGTGTGATTGTGCCGGTGCCCTGCTTGAAAGCTCTTCCCATGAACCAGCTGGCCCTCTCAGAGCCAAGTAAAGGCTCCAGTGATAACTCGCTGCCAAAGTTCTCCTCATCTGACTTGCTCGCCTCCTCCTCCCTCAGTGCTGGCCTCTTCTGTGTTTACAAGCTGTGGCTTCCAGCAGCCGTGTTCCATGCCTGGCTGTGTCTCTCCTGCTGCTGCCTCTGCTTGGAAACCCCCTTTTCCCTTCTTTACTTGGTGCCTGCCATTTCATTTTGACTTCCACGTGATATTCCTTTACCATGTGATGGTAAAGTGTGGCCCAAGATAATCCCGTCTAGGACAGGTAGAGGATGCTGGCTTCATTGATTGTTTTCGTGTTTACTTGTAATTTTCAGCCCCATGAAGCATAGTCTATCTTCTGCATTTTTTTGCGTCCCTCAGTAAAAATGAATATTAAAAGTCTGCTACAGCCAGGCATACTAGCGCACACCGTTTTAGTCCCAGCACTCGGGAGGCAGAGGCAGGAGGATCTCTGTGAGACATAGGCCAGCCTGGTCTACACAGCAAGTTCCAGGCCAGCTAGAAATGCATAGTGAGACCCTATCCCCAAAACAAAGCAAGCAAATAAAAAGAGTCTGCACGGCCCAGACTTCTTGCCTAATTGCTGAAAACAATATAGCCCACCAGAGGTCGGTCTTCTTTTTACATATGATGGAATTTTCCACTAATGGCTACTGACTGACTACATCCACATGTCCGTCATCGTGCTGGCCCACTCCACTCCTGAAATAGCAACTTCCTATTGTCTGTTTCCTTATTGTACACCATGACTGCGTAAATTATAACACCTAAGCTACCTGTGGACAAAGCTGAGTTGTAGTGGCAGCTTAGGGGGAGTAGTTGTGACGGCAGCAGAGAAAACGAAGGTGTTAGGATATCCGCTTAAGAATATCCGCAAAGCCACAGTGGTTTTGGCCCAGATGAAATTCCCAACTGTGGATCCTGTTTTCAATTCAGAGGTCCTCCTGGCTTGGGAAATAATAGGAAGAGAATTAATCCTTTGTTCCGAAGGCTAATAACCTTGTGGGATGAGTTGCCCAGGGCTGGTCTCTCCCTGCCCCCACCCCCGATCTTCCTCTCGCTGGAGTGTGTCCAGCAGGAGTTGGAGGGTGAAGTCTGAGAACCCGACGGCTGGTTCAGCCCTCCCTGGCTGGAGGGCACAGCCTGGAGCCTGCTGGCACCATGCTCCATGTGCACCTGCTCTTGGGGGATGTCTTTCCATTCACCCTACCCTTTCCTTCCCTGCAGCCACTTGCCTGAAGCCAGTTTTGAAGGGACCTGCCCTGGGTGTATCTTCTGTAGAGTGTGACTTTCTTACAGGCTCAGAGTCATGTTCAGTGGATCGGTTGAGTTTTATTTCTCTTTAACGCGAGCTCCGCTCATCAACGCGTTGCTTCATCTTTTCGTGTTGTTATGCCTGTCCCTTGTGCCGCTGGCTTGCTTGCCTCGGTGCTCGTTGCTATCCTTAGTTTTCCATGCTTCAAAAAAACTGACTCTTACGGTTTTCTTAAGCAGGAGTATTTTATACTAGTTCATTGAAACTCACTTAAATTTGGTTACTTCTACACGTTTGCCAGCTTACTGTATATATAGGCAAATGATGCATATAGACAGATAGCACTGTATAGCTAGATAAATACTGTAAATAGATAAATAATGTCATGCACTCTTTCTTTTTGAAAGAAAGGTTAGAGCATTAGAGTTTAGAATCTTGAAAAACTCAGATGGAAATGTCCCAGTTTTCAGCACCTTGACATCCTAGACATGAAATGGCAAGTGTATGCTTGCCATGATGAAACAGACTCCTCACACAGACACAGGCACAGGGCTAGGAGGTGGCTGGGCTCTACCACTCCAAGGCGGAGTGGTTTTCTGCGAGTTATATAACCAACCTTCACTTCTGTGTCCTTTTATAAAACATTTTTTTGGTAAATATATCAAGAGCAGGAAATGTGATGACCCTAACACAGCACCTTATTAATCTTCCTCGTAAGCAGTTTAATATTTCCCCGACCCCGACTTCCAACCAGTATTCAGGTGGAGTTAATGAGGGCCAGACGACAAAGTCTACATGCCAGTAGTTTCCAATTGCTCTAAAAACCAAAAACCAGCAGAAGCAAATAATTGACCAAACCTTAAAAAATAGACATGAGTGGGGATCACATGTGTGTGTAATATAAATATAAATGAGGACCTTTGACCCCGGCATTCTAATGGCTTTAATAAAAGTTACCGCGTTGATCTGGAACTGTTCCATAGTCTTTTTGTTGTCGTTGGTTTAGGTTTTTTTGAGGACAGGACCTCTCTATGTACTCATGGCTGACCTTGAACTCACAGAGGTCTGCCTGCCTCTGCCTCCCTGGTGCTTGGATTAGAGGTATGCACCTCCATACTCGGCCCAAATTGTATTTTAATTACGAAATTTGTAACTCGATAAAAGTTCTGCCCATAATCACGAGAAACTCAAATACAGGAAGATGCAGCTTAGCCTGCTGAGTTCTTATTTAGTTCCGCTGATGGCAGATTAGTCAGTAGACCCACAGGGAGGATGTTTTCCACTAAGAGTCGGACTTGGAAATGCCTTGGCTATTTCTACAGGCTAACCTGATTGATAATTCCTAGGTCGCTATCACTGCAAGTGTGTCTGTTTTTAAGACACGACATTGAACGACTGACTTTTCGTCCTGTGTGTGTGTAAGTACATGCATGCACACGTGGCAGTCAACTGGTCCAGAAGTCAATGCTGGGTGTCTTCCTCCATCGCTCTACCCCTTACTTCCTGAGACAGGATGTCTCACTGAACCTGCATGTCACCAGTGTAGGCAGACCAGCTTGCCCCAAAACTCCTAGCAATCCTCCTGCCTTTGCCTTCTCAGAACTAGGATTCGAGACATGCTTTGCCATCCCTGACTTTTTCCATGGGTGTTGGGGAAAACTGAGTTCAAGTCCTCACGATTGCTTGACAACCACATAGTAACTGAACCATCTCCCTAGCCCTCTCCCCATTTACAGATCCGTTGGCCTGCAATGCCAGGTGCAGCAACCCTTTTCATGAACAAACACCTATACACCTTAGGCAGGCCACCAGTGACTGATCAAACCCAGCTTGCTGAACCATGGTTCTATTGGGCTTACTTACAGGAACATGGGTGTGGTGTCATAAGCAGGAGCATAGGTAACCCCAAAACAGCTGCCTCTCCATAAAGTCCTACTCCAGTGTGGGTGACGACCTCCTAAAAGCATCGCAAACACACACACACACACACACACACACACACACACACACACTTCAATTAACCTTCCCCTACAGTATACTCCAGCACCTCCTGAGCCCCTGGGCATCTAGAGCAGAATTATTTATAGCGAGTGGAGTGAGCAGGAGAGAAAGGGAGTGGATGGAATCTCAGGTGGGCATCTGATGACCTTCCTTTCTTGCTCCTCCTCTGAGGAAATGCCAGGAGCCCTCCTGTGTTAGCGTCTACTGTGGGAGACCACAGCTGCTCTGATTACAATGGCCATATTATGCCTGAGGATGACATTTTGTGGTATCTGGACACTGGGAAGATCCAAGACCTAATGTTTGCTATGGCTTTTGAGGGAACTGTGGTGAACTCCATATGTGAAAATGGAGAATTCCTCAGCTAGAAAGAAAGAAAAAAGAAAAAGAAAGAAAGAATCTCTCATCCAATCATATTGCTTACATCTGCCTCAATATATCCCTACTGTGTGAGACTGCATTTTCTACAGACAATCCTATCCAAAATCCCATCCTTATTGAACACTCATAGCATCTGCTCTTCTGTTAGATTCACAGAAGCCAGTTCTGGCCAATCTCATGAGGCTGCAAGCCTCTTCAGTAGGAGGCTGTGCTATAGTTTGGACATTGAGGATCTCCCCAGCCCCCATGTTAAAGGATTAGTCCCCAGATGATGCTGTTGGGAAGTGTTGGGGCCTTTCAGATGTTGGCCTTGTGGGCATCACTGGAGGTGTGCGGGGTCCTGGCAGGCCTTCCTGACCGGTTGTACCATGCCCTCCTGCTGTGAGCTGCCACCCTCTTCAGGGCCCAACACAAAGTTAATTACCTCAGGTAGTCTTCACAGTGCAGTGATGTGAACTAATGCAGGCTATCCAGCACCGCTTACACCAACCTAATGGGAGATTTCTGCTGGAATTAAAAGAAGACCGTGTTCTTTATTGGGGGAGATTATCCTACAGAATGACGCATGATCTGTATGTTTAAGTTCTATGGAAAGCATCTGAGAAATAACTAGTATTGCTATTTAACCCCTGTGGTTGTTATATTGTTATTCTTCTCAATCTCATGATTTTACGAGTTTGCTTCATGGATTGGGCTGTGCTCTCATTATAGAGTAACATGTGAAGACTTTACAGATAATATTTAGTGGCTATCAGACATGAGGCAAGGAAGTTGAAATCCCACTGATGTCAGCCTTGGTGGGCCTGTGTTTTTTGCCCCAGGCCTTCCATATCACCCACAGAACGGGTCCCCCCACCTCACTCACAAATGGCAAGGCTTGCACTAAACATTCTGTCAGCCTCACACACTTTTCCTCCCTTCCCTTTCACGCGTGGCAGTGTAGTAAAGAGACAGGGAATACAGCCTCCGACCTTCAGCTCAGTCTGATTTAAACTGTCAGGAACTCGTCACTTACATAAACTGTTTAAAGCCAGGGCTGCTTTTTCCTCATCTCTTTTTCAGAACACTTTTCTCCAGGAAACGGTGCGGAGAGAGTGTGAAGAACGCTTTGAACTGACAGAGGCTTTGAGTCAAGCCAGAGAACAGCTCCTGGAGCTCGGGAGGAGTGGAGGAAGCTTACGGTGTTCCCTCAACAAGGGCACCCTAACCTACCCTGCCACCGCAGTCAGCAATCACCGCCAACAAAGCAGTGCGAGGCAGAACTGTGGACGAGGCACCAACCCGCCCAGCCTGCACGGACTGCCAAACCCCACAGCTTCCCCAAGCCCAGATAAGCTCAAGAAGGTCAGCAGCTCTGGACTGCCTGCCCTTCCCCAGTCACATCCTCCCAGGGGCAGAGCATCTTTGGTGAATGAGACCCGGCGGAGATTGTCCGCCATCCTTAGCCGGAGGCTGAGTCAGCAGTGATGACCGGAGCCAGGAGCAGTTCTGTCCACGGTGTACACACCCTTTCATAGCCTGCCAGAGGCTCGCTGTTAGTAACCGGGTGCCCGGAAACGTAACGTGTCTGTAGATATATTTAACAAGGGCTGTAAAAAGCTAGGAACTTTCAAAAGGCTTTGGAAATGGCAACAGACAATGAAGTCGGTATTCCAGAGGGCTGATTTCCATGCTCATGAATGTATTGTACGCTCTGCGACCCTGGGCTTTTAGGCTTCTCACCCTAGTGGGTTTTTCTTTCCCCCTCAGTCATTTCCTGTCTTCCATCCTCCCCCTCCCTTCCTGCTTTCTTTCCTTAGCAAGCAGATCATCTCCACAAAGAAGAGTAGATTATATTGGTTTTACTGGCATTTGTTCATTTGGTTATTAAACTGCACAGATGTAATAAGTATTTCAAATAGAAAAGGAAGTCCTTAATTTCCAAAGTACTTCCTTCAAATCCTCGCAGAGCTAACATCACCCAATGTTCCTCTCCCTCAATCTACCTGGGTATGGATGGCTTTGTAGGCTGGGTCCAGAAGTCGTGATTGACAGCCTGCAGGAGACCACCCACCATGAGGCAGGGGGCCTGCTACAGAAGGATGGCGACTCCCATTCAGGGAAAAGTGGTTTGGTCAGATTCTGACTATTGTTTCAGAAAGCAGACGGCATGAAAGTGTTTCTTGATGGCTGTTTTCTGCATTGGAGGATTCTGGCACATAGCTGAGTTCTATTGAACTTAGATTCTCCAGTCACTGGGAAGAGAACTAACACAAGATCTCCTGGTAAAAAGAACAGAAGGCTAATTTGGATTCAAAATTGATTACCCTGGGAAATGGGTAACCGATTACAGTTTCTGTTCTCAGGGTGAGACTGTAGAACAAGATCTGCTCTTTGACGTCATCTTAAAGCTACCCGCTCATGTAGCTGTCCATACCTAGGGCTGGTGCTCATCTGTCTTCTCCATGGGATTTTTGTCTTTACGTTGGGGGGGGGGGGGGGGACTTAACCCCTCTGCCTGCTGAAACATGGACATCCAGCTTCCCCCTTCTCCTCCAGGGAAAGCAGTAACACGTGTGACTGTGGCATGCTCAATTATCACATTTGCTGCAATATTGGTGAGAGAGGCCATAGGTACCTGGAGGATACCCTGACTAAGCACAAAGTTACCTCCCGTCTTCCTGAGGCTTGCTAGAGGGTTTTAACCACAGCATGAGTCCACACCAGGTGCCCCGGTTTCCGGACTACTTTAGGTAGGAGTCTTGCTGTAGGATTAGGATACTTCCCGTTGTCTCGCAGAGGTTGCCATTCTTCACTATGGCGTCTCACAGGAGAGCCCAGCAGCACAGAAGCGTGACTGGAGGGTGGACTGAAGGAGTATACTTCGAGACGGGAGTTGAACCAGAACACTGTCACTCAATCCCAGTCCTCCCAGCCCTAAAGGCGTCTTCCCAAGCCTCCATCGTGATTGTCGCCAGCTCCACCCACCCTGCAGTTAATATTTGTCCTTTTGTAAGTCCCCTCACTTTGTGTGTGAGAAGGAAAGTTGATTCAGGGTAAAATGACTGCAAAGTAACAAGTGTCCTTTGCTAATTCTAGGGCTTCTAGCGAATGCTAATGCAAATATGCACCTATTATTAAAATAAGAAATATTAGTGGGTGTTTCCCTTCCTCGGTATCATCCTGTATAATGTGGCAGGGACCGGTTCACTAGATCTCCTGGTTCTGAACTTTGTTTGCACGTTGAATTATAAATACTGTAACATAAGGTAGACGGTAAAGCCCGCAAAGGCCCAGAGCATCTTGGGCGACAATCTCTACCATCAGGTGAGACACGCTTGCTCGCTGTTTTGCAATCTCAGCTCCCATTGCAGGAGCCCCAGGCATACAATGAGTTTCTTTATTTTTACCGTGAATGTGGGTCAGTAAGGAAAGTCACATGCAAGCTTTTCTACGGATGTAAAGACCGCCATTGCAAAACCTGGCTTCTTAGTTTGTTGATACTCTCTTGCTTTGTGATGAATGTCTGGAACTCAGAATGGAACCATTGTCTGCCACACGGTTGTGTTATATGCTACAAAGATATCAGACACATAGATGGATAAACAGAAAAATGGTAATTACATTTAGTTTAGCCTACACCATCTGAATAGTGCAGATCGAGCTATGGGCATATCTATGTATTTGAAGAAAGAAATCCTTAAAAGTGTCACAAGACACTAGAGGTTAAAAACCCATCTCCTTGATTTTCCTGGTGATGAACTCTTGGCTTGAAAGAGTATCATGAATATTAAGAAGGTAGTGAGGGGCTGGAGACATGGTTCAGTGACTAAGAGCTCTCGCTGCTCGTGCAGAGAGAACCCTGGTTTGGTTCCCATCATCCGAATGGCAACTCAACCATCTGTAACTCCATCTGGACCTGATGCCCTCTTCTCACTTCCGTGGGCACTGCACACAGGTAGCACACACACATGTGTCCTGACAAAACACCCGTGCACAGAAAGTAATCAAATAATTTTAAAATAATAAATAATTTCAGATTTCTGAGGTTTCTGAGCACCTTGAGTTACAGGTTAACCCTAACGCTATCCACTTACTTGTTTTTTCAACAGATGTGGAGACTTCCATTTTAAAAAGAAATTGTGAGAGCTTAAAAAAAAAGACATATTATCAATCCTCAAGAATTATATAGTAGGGGCTAAGAATAAAGCATTTGTGGACGTCATACACATGGGAGGTGCTGAGTAAAATGTTGAGAGCAAGGTGGATGAATCTTAGTAGGGGAATCAGGAATGCTTCAAAAAAATCAGTATATACAGCAAGACTTTAAAAAGAGGAGCAGAATTGTACAGAAAAAGGTAGACCAGTCAGAAGAAATGCATAAACAGACGTGGGAATCATAGAAACCTGATAGGCTGATCTCACTGCACGAAGGTGTTGACTAAGGGCCAGTGCGTGCTGTCAGCTGGACATGCCACGTGCTTTTCTGAAAATGAGGAGCTTTGCCCTGGCAGGCCTGTGCTGGGGTGGTGTGGGGTGGGTGACTGGAGGATGCAGCAGCAGCTGGCAGACAGTGAGTGGTCCGGGCGAACTAATGAAGTTCTAATGAAGATACTGGTGCTGGGAATAAGGAATAGGCATTAGATTAAAATTCTATTCAGGGCAGGGAAGGGATTTTTTTTTTCCTCCCGCTAACTGCAATCTGAAACTGTTACCAGCCCTTGACACATTGGCAAGACTGCATTTGATGGGCATGGCTCTAATTGGAGGATCGTCTCTATTTAAGAATAATGTGAACTAGTGGGAGCTATGTTTCATTTGGGAATCACATGACCCCACAGACTACTGCACATAGAATGCCCCTTACAGGAGCACGCGATCTGAAAAGGCTGTAGGAACTGTGGAGGAAGAGATAAGTGGACATGAAACAGAAATAATCATGTCTTGACTCAGAGAATGTAACTACAGCTACACAGGGCAATTCTGGAGTGATAACTGTGTAATAAAATCTGATTTTCACTGCATGAAGGGAAATATAAAAGAAAATGCTCCAAGTAAAGTAAGAGTTATCTTAAAATCTTCACACTTTGTGGTACTGAAGAGACCTAATAACATCACCTGGTCCAGATAATCGTTCACTTAGTTAATTAGCTTTCTATTTGCACAACTGTATAACATCCGACGGAATGGAAGACCTTGGGCTTCAACTCCTGGCTTACCCATCTCATTTCCAGACAAAGAATATGACCAGTGGCCCAGCTTTTTCCTACTCAAAGTCAGCCCTTCCAGCAAGATCAGCATCCACTGGCAGAGTGTAAAAAACACAGAATTCCTCACCTCACACCCAAGCCTGCTACTATCCTCCCCTGTCCTCTCTCCCCCTCCCTTCCTCCAGCTTCCTCTCCTCTCCCCTTCCTTCCCCTCCATCCCCTCTGCTCCTCTCCTCTCTCCTCTCCCCGGCCCTCCCTTCCTCTCCCCCCTTTGATTCCCCCCCACACCCGTCCTTGCACAAGCTAAGATCTCCATCGCTGATCTCTAACCCCAGCCTGAAGTGGTTTGCATTTGCATTACAGGGTGAGTCTGTTGCTCATGGTGGGGCATTCCACATTGCTTAGCACAAGGCAGACAATGGCCTTGCTGTGTTTAGTTCCTCTACCTAAGAGAAGACATGGGGCAATGAGGACACCCACTACCATGCACCACACTGACCCATTTAACACCCATTTCCAGTGCATTAAGATTTTCCTACATGGCCATTGATTGTGAATCCATAACACTCCAGGAAAACTAGTGGATAAAGAAAATCAATACTCATTCCTAAAACTCTAAAACCTCCATGAGCCTGAGGACAACTGGAGGTTTTATTGTTTTAATCCAATAGAGGCATTTTGGTTTTAATCATTGGCAGCTTGTTGAATAATCTTAAACTCTAATCTCAGAATAGCATGTATCTGAAACTCTGTTTATTTTTGTAATGGTGATGCTTATTGTCTTCTGAGACTCTGAACATTTTCTCGGGTGATGAAGTAAACAGTGTAAAATTTATTTGTCCAGGAATTAGTTCTGAATCACATTAAATAGAAAACTAACTTGTGGCATTTCACCTGGATTAATATGTTTTAAAGACAGAATTAACACCAGCTAAATAGAATTCAGTCCAGATTCGCAGTCTCACAAATCTGGATAACACAATGAGACGTTAAACGCACTTGCCATGAGCATCGTAAGCTCATTTGGTGATACGCGGGGAGAGCCATCGTCTTTGGATACGCTGTCCTTTCTTTCTTCTTTCTTTCTGGCATCGTGCACGCTGTGCAAGGGCGCCTGCAAACACCTGGAGACTGGTTTTTCTCTTCTGCTTTTCTTCGCAGCTCTTCTGCTGAGCCATATCTCCAGGCCAGAAAAGAATGGAAGAAGCCAGGCAGGGTAGCACACACCTGTGATTACAGCCCCAGGGAGGTAGAGGCAGGAGGATCACTACAAGTTCAAAGCCAGCCAGGGCTGCATATAGAGATCCTCTCAGTCAATCCATTGATCACTGTAAAAATAATGAGACAGATTGACTTCATTTGCCACTTACAAGTTTGATATCTCCTATTAGCGTGTTTAGGGCTGATAGGAGTGCATGCACTTATAGGTAAAATTAAAAATACTTCTCATAGTTAGGTAATTCAAACCCAACAATTAGACAAGTCTAATTCAGGGTTTTGAAGCAGTGTAGATGCTTTTCTAAGGTGGAGGATTAAGACTGGCAGTGGATTTATTTGCTGAAGATGTGAGCATCTGGCCCTGCCTCGCTGCCAGCGCTGTCTCCGTCTCCCAAGTGAGCTCGATGCGGCCTAGCACATTAATCTAGAGAAATCTCTCTGTCTTCTGCCTCCTTGAGGCAAATGAGTTCTCCAGGCGTAATTTTCTATCCAAAGCCTTAAGTTTCTAGGGAATTAAGGTCACTGCCAAGATGCAAGTGACTTCTTCTTTTCCCTGGCTGAAAGCTGGGTTTCTGAAAACCTGGAGTTGTCAACTTTCCACTCCCTATGGCTGGACTTTAAAATAACGTATTCGAGGTTTAAGCCTGGGTCGCAAGGATCGAGACAGGAATCATTTTCTTTTTCCATGCAGTATACAATACTTAATATAAAAACTGAGATATGTACTTTTGATGAGTTAGAGAAAAAAATCCACCACTTTAACAGCCCTGGCCATAGGCCTAACCCACGTGTTCCCTCCAGACTCAATCATAACATTTGCTAATGTTCCCTAGA